CTGGAATCGCCCAACACTAGTCTGCTGTAGAAACATTACATGTATTATAAGGAGCTGTATACATGTACAGGTACAGTATAGATGGATAAAGAGCATATCAGCCCGAGAAGTAAAGTCAAGATGATCTGAGCCACAATGCTAACAAAACTAGCAATGGATTTTTCTCTTCTCAAATGAAAACTACCAAGTGACAAAAAGCAATGCCTGGCACTGGCATACCGGTAGCAGAAATGCAATGCGCGTGCTATGTAATAACGTACCAGGTCCTTTGTACCCCCGAAAATGTCACAGGTTTATTTACTGAGACATGTAATGTTAAAGTACAACAGACAAAGCAATGGCAACCAAACATGAACAAATGTAGGGTGTATGTACATACCGGTATGTGCATGCGTAACACTCTTTGGGGGAGGGGGAGGCCAATTTCATAGTGCTGCTCAAGCGAAAGATTTGTTCAAGCGTGAAAAAACCTTGCTTGATAAATCAGGTCACCAGCCAAAACGTCTTGTGATGTACATGTATATTGTTTTGGAATGGTATTTAGCTGTCTTTTGGTTAGTATCACAATCACATAGAGTTTGAGCTGGTAAACCCTTCGTTTATTAAGCAAGGTTTTTTGTGCTTAAGCAAATTCTGTGCTTAAGCAGCTCTACGAAATAGGCCCTAGATGTTAATGCAATTTTTCGGGAGGAGGGTGTCATTTTATTGCAACCCCTCCCCCAATTTTTGTTGATCGGAAAGCACTTCTTTTAAGGCTACACACCAGGTTTTTTTCTGTAAGGTGATTATGAAACAGAAGTGGCAAAAAAGGTCTAAGTGCATGCAGTAAATGCAACCACTGCCAACAACCATGCAACAGGGCCTGAAAAAAAACATGTACCAGGATTTACCTCACATCCATCTGTATATACATTGTACAAGTACATCCATTTCTTCTACACTTAAGTAAACCGATCTTGCATTGTGAAGTCTTCTTTGTTACAGCAGTCTGATTGTGAAAAATTCTACAAATCACTCAAGTTTCTGTCATCTATGCTCACTTCAATTTTTTAATTTTTTTTTTAATGCCAGGTGGCAATGTTACCCCCAAAAACTCTGAGAGCCCAGGTGGTCACTGCAATTGAGGTCAGCCACCCCAGTCAGGGGAAACACAACCATATGCTGGGGGGACGGGGCACAGGGAATTTATATGTACATGTACAAGTACATGTAGGGGATGTATCCATCTCCCCTGACCCCCATCTTTGTTAATCCTAACCCTCCATAATACTACAAATTACTACTTGTCGTAAAATGTAGTACCGAGTGCTGTCGCCTGTAAGAGGACATGACTTTATTGTTCTGTGAAGCCATAAGTTACATTAGATAAGACAATGTACCATACAGTGCTGTGGCACTATGAATGCATGGCTTTATTGTTCTCTGTACAAGTAACAATGGAAGTAACCTAGCCAGAAGTAGTAATTTGTAGCGCCAGGTCCTTCAGGCTCAGACTATTACTTAGTATTCTGTAGTACTGTGTAGTGTAAGCCAAACAACATGCTTGGCGGTTTGGGTTAATCAATACTCTGTGCTCACACTGCTCACCCAGGGAATACTTTTCTCGGTGTCGCATCGCAATTCACAATGCATTTTCAGCCAAGTCGCAACGCACTTTTTATGAATTGCAGTTGCTGTGATGCAACTAGAAACATGAAATAAAAGTGTTCGTTTCCGTGGCCAAGAATAACAATCAGCAATTTGACCTTGGATTTGTTGTTTTCCTCTTCACAAAAGCTTGTAAAACGTGGTAAAAAGTAAACAGCTATGTGGTGGCATGTAGAGAACATTTACTGA